GGGGTTTTTTTGTGGGGGGGGGGGGGTTGGCTTCACTGTAGGATAGGGTCTGACTTTGTCCGGACTCTGTGTAGGGCTTGGGGCCTAGGGCTTTAGGCTTGCAAAAAAGGGGTTATCATGTGTATGTCAATCTGTTCTCCAAGCATGTGAACCATGGAGTTATCTAGCAAGCAGAAAATGGGCACGGTGGCTATGCCACGCTTGCGGACCTAACAGCGGAAAAAACGACAACACTTTCCTGAAGGTTCGCTGCAAGTCCTGCGGAAGATTGGCTCAAGTTATAGCAAAAAACCATTGCCCATATTGTTGACTTTGCAGCCAACAACACAACAACGAATGACGACTCCCCTGTTCTTTCCGTTCTGGTGCTTTTGACGATGCTCGTGGTTTTATGTACCAGGTTGACGAATTACGAACCGTGTATTCACTAAATTGTGCAGGTTGGTTGCAATAACCCTAAACGCCTAAACCCTAAANNCTAAACCCCAAAGCCCCTAAACCCCTTATTAAGCTAAGACTGGCGGCAAAGATCTGAAAGGCACTCGCTGAATTACCCATCAGAAACCAACAACCCTACAGCACCATATCTCCCTGGAGCGGGGCCGGTCTTTACGATATGCAAGGTTTCGTAGGCAAACACGTTTAGGGTTCAGGATTTAGGGCGTAAGCAATAGCGGCTCGAAGGAATGATGATGCGAACTATGCAGGGTAAATTTAAGGGCTTCAATAATTTAGAATGGGGTTTCAGGGTAGATTATACTCTAACTGTACTAAGGAACCCCCAAAACAGTCTCCCTGAGCCCTAAACCCTAAACTCCAAACCCCAAACCGTCCCCAAAATAGTGTGAAGTTGGTAAATATTCGATTCATTCCCCGCCGACCCGCCTGCTTGATCTCGCGGATGATGCGTGCCCTGCACAGCGAAGACGTGACCCGAAACCACGGTTTACGGTTTACTGATTTAGGGGTTTAGGGTTTAGGGTTGAGGGTTTAGGGTTTAGGGTGCGACAAGCGGTAGTGCAGGATACATGCCCTAGTACACCCTTATGAAGGGACTACTTAGAGGTTCAGGGGACCATCCCCACGGTCTTCAGCAGGGGGGGGCCAGGAAAAATGTACATTACAATTTCGGCTCCCTTCAGACTACGAACAGGTTAATTGTAAATTCAAGGGTTGGCTTCCAGAATTGGACTGCAATCACGTGGGGCTTGGAATCTAAAGCTGCAGATCGGATCACTTCATTTTTATGCCCGGGCCACTGTAGACTCGACCATGACACCGATGCTTAGAGCTTCGATTGCTTCACACGAGGGCAAGCCATGCAGGTGCTATGGAGTCCACGTCCCGCACGAACTCAGCAACCGACTTCAAGGATCCGGATCGCGAAGGGTGCATCTCGGCCAGCACGTTGAAAACATGCGAGCGGTACACCTGGCCAGCCTTCCCTACCAAAACGGTGTCGAAGTACATGACGGCTCTGCTGCAAATCTCCTCCCACTTGAGAGACTTCTTGCCAGAGCGGAAGCACTCCTGGTCATCCAACAGTGGCGTGGATGTGCTGCTGTACAAACTCGGCAGACGACGGAGATACAAAGACCTAGTACGTAGGGTTATAACTAAGGTAACTATCGTCATATCTGCTTGTAACCCTAATTGAGGTACTTATACCCCTACTAACTAAGCCCCCTAAACCTCTAAGTACTACTGTAGAGGCGATTGGGCGTAAACCCGGAACATTCACAAGGGGATCCGTATCGATTGCGAGTCCGCGAGTCCGATATCGTAGCAGACTTTGCAAGTCTGTTGCCATGGCTACATCGTGCATATTTAGGATTGAGGTCTACTGCACTTGCAAGGTGGAGGAAAACGAGCTTTTTTTGCGCACTCCTTAGAAAAGAAACATCATGCGATAAAGCAGAACGACCTGTGGCTTGGGCTTAGAGTCTCGTTCAAACACCTGCTAGGTAAAACCTTTTGTTTTGTTTAAGGGTTTAGGGTTCAGGGTTTAGGGTTTGAGGTTTAGGGTCTTTCTTGATTTTTCGATCCCCACTATAACCCCGATGAGGTTACTCAAGGGTCGTTTGGGCGTTTTGGTTCCTGAGGCTCCAAGCTAGAGACACAGTAGTAGTAGTAGTAGTAGTAGTAGTAGTGGTAGTGGTTGTAGGTAAGCAGGTAAGCAAGCAAGCAAGCAAGTAGCGATAGCAGTCGCAGCAACAGAAAACCAAAAAACACTTGAACCCCAAACCCTAAACCCTTAACCCCTAAACCCCAAACCCTAAACCCTTAACCCCTAAACCCTAAACCTTGAAACCTAAACCCCTAAACCCCCCTACACCCTGAACCACGCCTCTTCCAGTCTGCTGCCGTCAGACAGCACGCGAAGCTCGTGATCGCCACGACACTGATCCAAAGCCTGGCTTGGTTCAGCTTCCAGGGCTTAGGGTTTAGGGTCTACGAGGGTTTAGGCCCAGACCTTAAGTTAGGGGTTCCTGGTGTCTGGTTATGTAGGTTATGTAGGGCTTAGGGTTTAGGGTCTAGGGCTTAGGTTTAGGGTCTACGGGGGTTTAGGGTTTAGAGTTCAGCTTCTAGGGTTAAGGGTCTGCGGGGGTTTAGGGTATAGGGTCTAGGGTCTAGGGTCTAGGGTCTTGGGTCTGTGGTTTAGGGTTGAGGGTATAGGGTCTAGGGTTTAGGGTTTAGGGTATAGGGTCTAGGGTCTAGGGTCTAGGGTCTTGGTCTTGGGTCTGGGGTTTAGGGTTGAGAGTTGAGGGTATAGGGTCTAGGGTTTAGGCTTTTGGGCTCCAAGGCTATTCAAGCCCTGACCCCAAACCCAACTTTCCCAAAATCACATCCAAGGTTTGAAGCCTGAGGCTTTAGATCTTATCAGAAGAATGCACACAAGATCTTGAAAGTAGTTTAGGGCTTAGGGTTTACTTATCCTCATCTCTAAAAGCTACCTAAACCCCAAACCCTTAAACCCTAAACCCCTAAACCCTAAACCCTTAAACCCTAAACCCTAAACCCTCAAACCCTAAACCCTGAAAGCCCTAAACCCCTAAACCCTTAACCCCAAAGCCCTCAACCCTAAAACGGAGCCCTTAAGATGACCGGCACTGCTGAGGCTGAGGGCTTGCCGCCGAACTTTGGGTCTGCGCTCGTTTTTTTTAACTTTGGGAGTCATCTGCATAGACCTTTTGCCTTTCAGGGTCTCACTGGGCTTTACAGGAGGGTCTAGACTGATCTACTCATGACCTAAACAAATCAAGTGCAGTACGTGCCTGAACTGCCGACTCGAAGCGGTCCGGTATGTGTTGGGTATTCTGGGAAACCTAAAACATTCGAAAGTGGTTCGTCATTGCTTAGGGATCCTTCAAGGGATCTCTCAGGTTGTACGGCTTAGGGTTTAAGGCTTTAGAGTGTAGGGGTGGAGGGATCGGGGCGTAGGGTTCCGGGATTGTCCATGGAATGCAGATGCAAAACCTCCACCGGAAAGTGCGACAAATCCTAGACCCTAAAGGCCACCGAAGCCTTAAACACTCGGGGAAGGTTTTAAGAGGACAAAGGGATCTACAAGGGTTCCCTTAAAGGGATCTTTAGGGTCTAGGGTTTAAGGGTTTAGGGGCTTAGGATTTAACTGGTTTAGGGGGAGAAAGCCTTTTGGGTTTAGGGGTTTAGGGGCTTAGGCTTTAGGGCTTGAGGGTTTAGGATTTAGGGCTTCAGGGTTTTGGCTTTAGGGCTTTAGGGTCTAGGGCTGAGGGTTTGAGGGTTTAGGGCTTTAGGGTTTAAGGGCTTAGGGCTGGGGGCTGATTGTAGGCTTCCTTTCAGGCTGAGGTGGGGCCTCAATACTTCGAAACAGGTCTTGGGGTAGATTACTTGGGGGTTCATGGGTAGTTATAAGCGGGGTAATAAGTAGGGTAACTATAGTTATAACTTTAGAACCCATATTAGGTAGGTCATTTATAGCCCTACTTGTAACTACCCATGAACCTCCAAGTATACTTTATGTATCATGGGAACCCTCCGGATCGGTCTTCGTGAACTTGCCAGGCTTCCATACCCAGAGACTCCAAAACCCCTTGCTTCAGGAATTATGCTATGATGATATGAGGGTTCCGAATAAAACTTGAAGGAAGTTCCTTGCAGCAACTATGGGATCTAATTTTGGAGTCTCTGAACTACCTGATCGGGATGTCAGGACCCCCGGGAAGGGCTGAGCCAGTCTTACGTGCTTATGCTGTACCTTTCTCACCCGGAAGCTCAACATTGCAAACTGCTACAGTTAGGGTTTAGGGTTTAGGGTCTTGTATGCTAAGGCCGGAACATGAAACGGAGCTGGCTAGAACCTCATGCAGAATCGAGCCAGTGGGGCGCAAGGTACTTGATGCTGGAGCCGATGTAGCGACAGTTCAGCTTCACCTCCCAGAGAACCCAATATCCCTTAATTAAGGGATATATACCTTAAATCATACTATTAAGGCCCCTATAATTTAAGGTATATATATTCCTTAGTTCCCTTATAGAGACCCTTATAGAGACCCTTATAGATCCCTTTACGGAACCCTATAAGTTAAGGTATATATTCCTCGATTAAGGGGTATTGGGGTTCTCTGGGCTCAGCTGGATGAAAAGGCTCGGCCCCCGAGCCGTGTAAAGCCGAGACTAAGGCTGCCATTACGGTTTAGGGTTTAGGGTTTAGGATTACCCTAAACCCTAAACCCTACACCCTAAACTCCTAAACTCGTAAGCCCTAAACCCTAAAACCTAAACCGGGCTTCGCGTTTAGGCTTTAGGGCTTACGGTGGAGTGCCGGTCTTTCCCGCAGCTCGGGGTTGACGCTTTTGGGCTACGTTGCCATGCTGTGGCAGCTGAGGCATGGCTTCATACGGTTGATGGTAACCCATAATTAGTCCGAAACCCCAAACCTTACCGTAGGGGCCTTAATAATTAGAGTAGGGTTGTGGGATATGTTATACTATAGCTATAATTTGTAATAAGGAACCCCCAAACTACGGTTGATGGCATAAATCCTGCATTACCCAGAATAAAGAATAGACCATATCCATCGTTTAGGGTCCTTAAGGTAATGCAGGATTTATATCATCAACCGTATTCCGAAAGTGCCTGCTTTCGTCAACATCCGAGCCTGGACCCTAACCCTAATCCAAAACTACTCGGACTTCGGGGCTTTTAGGGTTTAGGGTTTAGGGCTTAGGGTTTGGGGGTTCTTGGGTTTAACATTCACAGGCATGCAGCGACAATGAAACTTTGAGAATGCTGCGCTGCAGACCTGTTCAGGAGCTTCATGAGGCTAAAGGCGAAACGACTTTCCGGCGACACTGGCTTTTTCATCTCCGGACAACAACTGTTTCTCGAGCTCATACTGTCACTGAGAATTCAGAGTATAAAGTCAGCCAGCGCTGAGTTTGGGGTTTAGGTTTCAAGCACCGTTGACATACACCCAGTCTTACTCCTCTTCCGCGTACTACTACCACCCTGCAGCAGAAACCCTGACAAACATTCCACGACGCTTGAGAACACAACCTGGAAGACCACCAAACAGCTGAGCAAGGGACGTCGTCCAGCGCGGCCGGGAGCAGGGGTTCAAAAGTCGTTTCGTTCCAGCCTTCGTCGACGGCATGGGCATGGGTGCACATTGGAAGGCTTCGGTGCATTTTGCGCCTTTAATCTATTAAGGTGAATTGTTTATGGTGTGGGCTTAAAGTTTTGGATTTAGTGTTTGAGGTTTGAGGTTCATACACTCCTAAACCCTCAATCCACACTCCCAGACAATGATGTGATGTGGCGTCATGTGACTCATTGTGATGCGACGACCCTGCAAGCACGACAGCATAATATCCCTGGTGATCGTTCTTCATCAAAGACTTAGTTGCTAAGTTCATAAGCTCAACAAAGTGTACACTTTCAGATCTATAAGGAATCACATTATCCCGAAAAGTGGAAAGTGTACTCATTCAGCTACGGAGAAGAATGTTGGATTGCCCATAAAGATCGGCAGCGAAGCCCCTAAACAGGCCGTATACACTAAACACTAAACCTTTAAGGTCAAGCGATCGAAGGTTCCATAGTCGTGTCGCGCCTCCGCACAGAAAACATCTGCGGTTTGGGGCTTAGGGCTTTGGGAAAGCAGCCGCGTACACCTGTTTCGAAGCAACATGCCACCCGCTTGAATCGGCCCCAGCGGAGAATCAGCAAAAACCTCTTACGTGAACCGTCTCAAAGGAGAACCAGAAGCCCTCTGAGAACCCGTAGAAAACTATCATCATAGCGCCACAAACTTTTGCCCCAGACCCCCAAGGAGAACAAAGCCTAAGGCTTCCGCGGGCAGAAAACGAGATCAGATCCGTGCCATTCTCCTGCACTGCAGCCACGGCTTCGGGTTTGGGGTGTAGGTTTTAGGGCTTAGGGTTCTACGGTTGAGGGTAACCCTAAACCCCAAACCCTAAACCTTTAGGGTTATGGGTTTTAGTCCCATTTTCCAGCTTCCGTTGCTCCCCTGCCAAAGAGTCGACTCCATGCCATAGCGGCCATAGACAGAGTAGCAGGTCCTTACCTAAACTGTTGACTTTAAACCCTAACTAATTTAGGGGGTTGAACTTAGAGTGTTCGTGGTTTGTGGGCTGGGGTTTTGGGCACTATGTGCTTGGACGTTAACGGTGGATAGTTTGGGGGTTTGGAGTTGTACTACGCTTTGGGGATTCGAGGGCTTTCTGGGTCCAGGGCGTGGGGCCCCAAAGAAGGTTTAGGGTTTAGGGTTTAGCGGTTAGCGTTCAGGGCTTGGGGCTTCTAACTTAGAAAGTTCTGACCCCAAACTGATCTAGAAGGACCCCATAAACAAGAGGCATCCTTTTGTGCAATACTCCCTACGGTTGATGGTATAAATCCTGCATTACCCATAATAAGGAATATACCATAATTCATTCCCATTGTTTAGGGTCCTTAAGCTGATGCAGGATTTACATCATCAACAATAGTTTGGAGAACCCCCTCGTAGGATATCACTTCAAAGAAACACCATAATCTCCAAACTGCAGGGTTTAGGGTTTAGGGCTTAGGGTTTAGGGGTTCTGGGGTACCCTCCATACCCCAGCATCAACTACAAAACTACTAAGCTTGCTCTGTGGACACGACAAGCGCACCGTGCGGCATACATGAGGCTTAAGGGAAAGTAACGAGCACTAAGCTCTTTTCAGTTCAACCGCAGAACCCAAAACCCTCAACCCTAAACTCTCAAACCCTTAACACACAAATTCCTGCCCAAACACTAAACTTACAAACCCCAGCTTCGGAACCAGAAGAATCCTAAGAACTCCTAGGCACTCCGAGCCTTCAGATAGCCACCTTCGTACGCTGCGCTGAGCGTAGCCTGGGGGCGGCCCGGAAGGAAAAAAAGACGAATGCAAGCCAGCACAAAAAAACCAAACCGTAAATCCCGAACCCTAAACCCCTAGCCGCCCAGGGCGGGGGGGAGGGGGCGGGGGAGAGGGAGTGATACAGCAGAACAAGGCAGCTTCTGTACAAAACCTTAACCCTCAGCTGCGCATCAAACCCGAAAACCGTGAAACCCGCACGAATCCCGTCTTTGTGGAACCCCTCATAAATCCCTGAAGACAAACCCGAAACCCTACAACCCCTAGACCCCAAACCGCACTGCCCGAAACGCCAAAGCCTAGAACGCGGCCTAGTACAAGCTGATCCTAGGCCCGTAAAAAACCGGACTATGTGTGAACCCCTCATCTTCAACACCAAACCCTAAACCCAAACCCCACATAGAAGCCCTCACAAGATCCCTGAACCCGTAAGATCCTTAAACTCCTAAGATCCCTACTCTCTAAACCCAAAACCCTAAACCCTAAACCTTCGACCCTCAAACCCTAAACTCTAAACCCTAGACCCTCAATCCCGAAAACTCTAAACCCTAAACCTTCAAAACCCTGAACTCTAAACCCTAAACCCTCAAACCCTAAACTCTAAACCCTAAACCCTCAAAACCCTGAACTCTAAACCCTAGACCCTCAAACCCTGACCTCTATACCCCCAAAACCTTAAACTCTAAACCCTAGACCCTCAAACCCTAAACGCTAAACCCTAGACCCTCAAACCCTGAACTCTAAACCCTAAGCCCTCAAAACCCTGAACTCTAAACCCTAAACCCTCAAACCCTTAACTCTAAACCCTGAGACCCTCAAAACCCTAAACTCTCAACCCTAGACCCTCAAAACCCTGAACTCTAAACCCTTAGACCCCCAAAACCCTAAACTCTAAACCCAGAACCCTAAACCCTCAAACCCTACCCTAAACCCTCACACTCTGAACTCTAATCCTTAGACCCAAAAAACCCTGAACTCTAAACCCTTAGACCCTCAAAACCCTAAACTCTAAACTCCAAACCCTCAAACCGTCCTCCAGAGCGTGGCACCAAAATAAACGGACGGTGTGCAGATACATGTCAAGCATTGCACGCTTGAACAAGCGCACGTCAACCATGCCCTTGCCGCAAGGCAAGCCCTTCCCCGACAGGCACTGACACATGGGCAGACTTCAGGTCACCTTTCGGGAGGGCGGACCCAGAGCAGTGATAATGCACGTATTCGTTCGCAGGGTCCTACATGCTCTTCTTGCGGATTTCGAGACACACACGGGGATTTCCTCCCGTGCATGTCGTCGATCCTGGGTTCCGTCCCTGGGCACATTTCCTCGGCCCACAGGATCTGCTCGCAGAGTTCCTTGTGCGAAAGAAGTCGTTCCCAGACAGTCGTGCACGCATCGATGAACTCGCGCAGGTTTTTCTCTGTGTTCGCATTGCCTGCGCCCTCACCCTAAACCCTCAAACCCTAAAGTCTAAACCCTAAACCCTCAAAACTCTGGACTCTAAACCCTAAGCCCTCAAAACCCTGGACTCTAAACCCTAAACCCTCAAAACCCTGAACTCTAAACCCTAAACCCTCAAAACCTTAAACTCTAAACCCTCAACCCTAAACCCCCAAACCCCCTAAACCCCCAAACCCCCTAAACACCCTAAACCCTAAACCCCCAAACCCCCTAAACACCCTAAACCCTAGACCCCCAAACCCCCTAAACACCCTAAACCCTAGAACCCCTAAACCCCCTAAACCCTTAAGCCCTCACACCCGACCTGGTCCGTGATGGACCAGACAAAGTCGTCCTCAGCAGGCCCCAGTCGGCTCACGACAGCTTCCGGCTTCTGGGTTTTAAGCGCTCCTTTTAAAGGGCTCCCCAAGGGTGACCTATAGAGGGATACTATAGGGGGTCTTTAGGGCTTTTGGGGGTTCAAGGGCTTCTAAGTTGTAGCGTTTTGGGTTTAGGGGTTTTGGGGGGTTTAGGAGCTTAAGTTTTGGGCATAGGGCTGCTCATTCCAATCTAGTGGTTCAACCAAGTCCGGGTTTAGTGTTTTAAGGCGTAGGGTTTCGGTTTAGGTTTAGGATTTAGGATTTGGGCGGGGGGCAAAGATTCTGTAAGCATGCTATACAGGCGACTGGAAGGCTTCATTTAGGAGGTCAAAGGCCTCGAGTTTGGGGGTTAAGGTTTAGGGTTTAGGGGTTTTGGGGGGTTTAGGAGCTTAAGTTTTGGGCATAGGGCTGCTCATTCCAATCTAGTGGTTCAACCAATTCCGGGTTTAGTGTTTTAAGGCGTAGGGTTTCGGTTTAGGTTTAGGATTTAGGATTTGGGCGGGGGGCAAAGATTCTGTAAGCATGCTATACAGGCTACTGGAAGGCTTCATTTAGGAGGTCAAAGGCCTCGAGTTTGGGGGTTAAGGTTTAGGGTTTAGGGTTCAAGGTTTGGAGCCTTCGGACCCAGGTCGTGGTACCTAGCCACGTGCAAGCCCGGCATCCTCACATGCTTCTGCTCCGGATCCGTGTTGGGTACATGTGCCCTGCCATACTCTGCCCTCCTCTCACATGTAGATCCGCGTAAACATTTCAGAATCCTAGCCAAGGCACAGATACCTCCACTTGTAACAAGTTATAACTCACGCCCAAAACTCTAAATCCCTAAACCCTAAACCTGACATCCCTAAACCCCTAACCCCTAGACCATTGGCTTGAAACCAGTTAGCACCTCATGCCCTTTCATCCAGCAAGGGATCAAGGTTTGGGGATTAGGGTTTATGTAGTAGAAGCCAAAAAGTTGAAACATTACTCTCCTCACGCCCTAAGGTAAAATATAAGCAATCCTCAGACTAATCCTCCTCAACCCATGTTCCAACTTTCTGGAATTCGCTGTAGATGTTTATAATTTATAAGGTTTGAGTCGATATCAGGGCTTAGGTTTCAGATTTGAAGGTGTCGGCATTGTGCTTAACAGCTTGTTGGCTAAGCACCCGGCACGAGGGTCGGCATACTGGCCGAAGTAGGCCGGATCGTAGATCAGCTGAGTTCTCGAATAGCACCTCGGTTCAGGTTATGGCTTTCAGGTTGCGGATGAGTGGGCTGGGTCCTGGGAACCAAGCACTACTGCAATACAGAGCATCTCAAGAGCAAGGTAGGAAAGGCTGACACAACACTTTGTTTACGCAGGCAATTGGCATCAGCTGCGTGTCTCTAAACCTTAAACCCTAAACCGTGAAACGTTGGAACCCTGTATCTGCAAACTTTGCCCTTAGCACTGAGGCTTAGGTTTGGAAATGCTAGCGAACGCGGCGCCCGCAACCTCTAAACCCTGAAACTCTGAACCTCAAAAACCCACATTACACCGCACACAAACCCTATGCACCCCTTTGAGAACCCTGTCAGACCCTAAATCTGTGCACAAGAAACCCTACAAACCCCGAAAAGCCATGTCAACAACCTCAGGGTCCCTGCATTAAGCCCTTCCACCCTGTACCCTCCTACGAACCCGCGGAAACCCAACCCCGATACCGTAATGCTTGAAACGGTTTAGGGTTTAGGGTTGTGGTTTAGGCCCTAAAAATTTTCAAACACGAGGGCTCATGGTTTAGGGCTTTGCCGGGTTTAGGGCTTTGCTGTTAAACCCCGGGAATTCCTAGGACTCTAAAACCCGCAAAGATTTAAAGTCTCTGATTCCTAACGGCGCAAGGTCATTCAAAAAAATGTAATATATATATATATATATTTTTTTTTTTTTACCTGCTGCCAGCGGCCGACGTCCGTGATGTGCGAACTTGGTCGAGGGGCAGCAACTCACGCGTAGACGGGGGGGTTAAAGTGCCATCGAAACGCCGACGCAGTGTGCATGCCATTATTTCCTGGTACTCCTCACATGAAGACGTTACAGTCGATGGATAGGCCCCTGGCGAGACGTGCTTTCCCGGTTTCGCCACCCTGAGCAAGTCTGCCCTCTGAACACAGACATGTCTTTCATCCGTGACAGATACACTCTTGCCTCACCCAGCGGCACTGGTACGGGACGAACACACCTACACCGAATCGCCAGGACAGATACAGCCATATACAGACAGAGCAAACGCTGAACAGAGCATGGTCGCGTGGCGTATGCAATGGTCCTCCTCGGTTGGAGTGGTCAGCTCCGCCCTTGCATGTGCATGTGGAGAATGCGACCATGATCCTGACGGGTGTTTCTCAAACTTCGAGACGTGTGTCCCACTGAAGCTGTAGCGTGCGATCGAGGCACACAGAAATCCAAAGGAAGATCCTGGAGGATGTGTGTAATCTTTGAGCCGAGATCACGCTATTCCGGGAGATTTGGTCGCTTGTAGTCACCACATGCACACAGCTTGGCAATGCCGACGGTAATGAGGTGCGGGGTTGTCTTCTCTGTCGTGCTGATTATGTTCTATGTTCTACGACTTCGTGGCTCCCGTCTATCTCGATGCGAAGTATGTTTGTCGTACGCAGATGCGGCCTATCAGCAAGACTTCCAAGCACTGACACCTGAAGATGTTCTTTCCCACTCCGACTTAATGTCTTCAAGCGGGCTCCTGTGCTACTGGAACAGCGGGCCTGGTTGGCATGAACGTACGGTATCCCGGCACGAGCACCTTCTCAACACGCACACCGGCTTCCGCACCGATAGTTCAGATAGCAGGGGCTCGTGGCGAGCCTTAGCATGGCTTCGTATTTGTAGGGCGCTGTACCCTACTCCGCATGGCTTGGAACTGACACGGATTTGCAAGTAAACCAAGCGAGCTGGACATATCGAGCACATCAAGAAGTACAAACCGCCGAATTCCGGATTAGGCACAGCCTGCGCGCACGAATATTCATTAGTTGCTTCCATAAATGCTCAAGTGTACGTACAGCAGATAGGAGCGAACTGTAACCTATGATGCCACGGCCTTACGTGTAATACAAGACGAGGCACATCGTACTGCCATAAAACAGACATCCTCTCTCTCATACTTCCATGACTTCACATCTAGACGTTTGTTGGACCCGCCCGCCTCTCGTACTCGGTCTGCGTCCTTCGCCTGGCACAAAGGCGCACCGCAACAGCCGCGGCAACAGCGCGTTCAACCCGAAGTGCAGCCAAGGTAGAGCCTCTCTTTTGTAGACGCCCTCGCATCTACTTCTTGCCAGCTAGGGGGGCCCAAGCACACGAGCCGACCTTGGGTCGGTGTGGCTTGGAGGCACTTAGAAAACCCCGCCGCAGTTGCTCGCAGGCTTGACAGTACCGCGGGTCCGTATCAATGGAACCCGGGTACAGCTCTCCCAGGGCGTTGGGCTTCCCCCTATGGTTGGGGTCCAGTTCACCCGGCGGGATGAAAGGCCGTGTTTCACGAGGCTTTCGTGCGGGTCGTCTTCACGGAAGGTGTTGGCTTAGGAGGACGAGGCGCAACCAAAACTCCAGGAGCCGGAGCCGTCGATGCAGACCCGGCCTCCTTCGAGGGTGTCTGCACCGACTCCTCTCCCGACGCTTCCTCCTCGGACCCAGGCCGTGTGCGACACCCGAGCCGGTCCTCCGACAGCTCCTCGCCGTTCTCCAGGAGTTCCTTTTCCAGCTTGGTTACCTTGCGTCTGGTGTTGTGCAACAACCGAAGCTTGGATGTGAATATGTCCCGGATGTCGCCCTTGCGTTTGTGAAATTGATGCGAGCCACCCGTAGGGCTCGTCGCTTGGCGTCCATTTGCTCGGACATACCGGCAAAGAGAGAAAGCGAGAAGGACGGTGGTGTTCCGGCAAGAAATGGCTCATAACCAAACCCAATATGTTTACGCTCTTGCATGACACGGTGCACTGCAAGACATGGGTTGGAACTGACATGAATGGGCATATAGACCAAGCGAGCTGGACACACCCACCATTTGACGGCGAGGTACTTGTCGAACTTCGGAAGGAGCGCAGCCTGAGAGCATGAGCATCGAGTAGCCACTTCTTTTTTATGATAGGTGTACGTATGTTCCGGATAACCGCATCTGGCGGAAGTGAGCCGCGACCGAGCAATACCGCGTTAAAACAAGGGGGTATGGATTGCACACATCTGGCGGCAGATGGCGAGGATGACGAGTATGATGAAGATGATGACGATGATGGAGATGATGAAGAAGGTGAAGATGATGGAGATGATGAAGATGATGAAGCTGATGAAGATGATAGAGATGATGAAGATGATGAAGCTGATGAAGATGATAGAGATGATGGAGATGATGGAGATGATGGAGATGACGGAGATGATGAAGATGATGAAGATGATGGAGATGATGGAGATGATGAAGCTCATGAAGATGATGGAGATGATTGATGGAGATGATGGAAGTGATGAAGATGATGGGGATGATCAGGGGTGCGGTCGATGGGGGATGGGGCCAGGAGGGATTTAAATAATTTAAATCCGGAACCGGCTTCCATATTTAAATTATTTAAATTATTTAATTCCGGAGGTGGTGATGGGGTTCCGGGTGGGGCTGGGGCCCCGGGAATTTAGATAATTTAAATAATTTAAATATGGAGGGGCCCTCCGGATTTAACTTATTTAATTCCCTGGGCCCCCGGAACTTAGGGCCCTTTTCGGACGTAGTAAGTAGGGATACAAGTAAGGTAGCTTTAGTTGTATCTACTTATGACCCTAAATAAAGTACTTCTGACCCGACTTACGAAGTCCCAGGAACCTCTAAGTAAGCCTCAGTGCCGGGTCCATGGTTCTTTAGTCATAAAGTGAGTCTAAACCCTAAACCCTAAACCCTAAACCCCAAAATCCCTAAACCCTAAACCCTAACCCTAAACCCTAAACCCTAAACTCTAAACCCTAAACCCTAAACACCCTAAACCTTAAAATGAGGACCCCAAGATCAGACCGGGGAGCAGGTCGATGAACATCACCTGAGACGAGGACGTGACGTCTTCAAGGGAGCCCTTTGAGACAGTGCATTGATAGAGGCTTTAGGGTTAAGGGTATGGAGTTTAGGGCTGAGGGTTTGGGGTTTACGGTTTGGGGTGTAGGGTTTAGGGTTTAGGGTTGGGGGACTAGGTTCTTGCTGGGCTTTATGCAGCTTTTAACTCTTAGCTTACTTCACCATACCAAGCCTATTCTTCACTAAATACGCATATTACTAGCTGAAACCACGTTCCTGAACAAGAGCCCAATGCAAGGCGGCAGGCTTGGTGCCTCAGGACTTGTGGCTATGAAGCTAGAATTAAGGCCTTGGGAAGGGGCTTTGGGCTTACCATAGGATTGAAGATTCAGGGTTTAGGGTCTAAAGATTAAGGCTTTACCCGCGAAAGCCTACCAAACCCAATAGGAAAAAAGACCACATATTTATGAATCCCGAGTCAATTCAAAAACGACTTAAATCCTAACTCCCAAAAACCTACAGAACCCCGATAGATCCCTTATAGGAAGCCTTGAAGCATCCCGAATGCCTCAACCCAAAAGGATCCCCGCTGCGCCGAGGGGCAACGAAAAGCGGGCCGTACTGGAGCCACTTGCCATGGATACTGACCTCCCAGGGAGGGAGTAGGGTTTAGCAGGGCTTAGCGTTCCCTAAACCCTAAACCTTAAACCCTAAACCCTGAACTCCTAATTGGGTTTAAAAAGTATGTGGCTGAGAGTGTAGTGTTTAGGGTTTGGGGCCGGGTTAGGGTTTCGGTCCTCATGTCTCTGGCCAGGGGTTTGTGGATGGGGGTTGCGGGTTTGGGTAGGGCTTAGGGTTTAAAGCTCAAGACAGGGAGGATTGAGGGGGGAGGTCCGTTTGGGGTTCCGATTGAAGTTTAGGGTTTAGGGTTTACGGTCTAGGGTTGAGGGTTCAGGGTTTAGGGCTAGGGGTATAGATGGAAATCACTGGTGGCCCTATCTCTTTATAGCACCGAAATAGCTTTGCTGCAACTATACTAGAACAGCCCCAGAAGCTTGTTCTACTTGCGCCAGCCTAAACCCAAAGTGGTGTCACATGGTCGCAGGGTTTACCGTTGGAAGGGGGTACCATCAGGGGTTAATTGTCGGTTTAAGGCTTGGGGTTTAGGGTTTAGGGTTTAG